TGACCAAGTTTACAAGTTCGACTCGTGGCTTCTTGCTGTTGCTTTCAGTAACTTCCCCAATTAGAGTTTGTGTTGCGGCCTCCAAGGGTCACGCGTTGTGCAGTCAGCAGATTGCTGTTTAGTGGAGACGCAGTGTGTATTATTGGGACGGCGAGAGGTCATCGATCTCGATCAACGCTCACGTAGCATAAATCCACATCCTGACAGAAGCCACACACACATGCATGCTGCTCCCTCACACTACATCCACTGAGCTCCGATTCTAATGCATTTGCCTTTAGAAGAAACACTTTAAAAGCAGGATTATGCAATCATGTTACTGTTTGAAAAGCAAAAAATTTACCATGGAACAATTATACTGTGGTAGGTTATGATAAATGAAGCATGTTAATGATAATTACTTCTCTGTGGTGGCTTAGCTCTTCTCTGTGCTCACTGAATTAGATTACTGCTGACATTTTTGTACTAACATGCTAAGAACTGGGGCAGCCGTGACACTTTTGGATTGTGGATTTGTAAAACGTCACTGGCAGAACTAAATTTAATTCAGAAAATCAACAGTGTGTTTCCTAAGCCATATTTAAGTAGGGCGTTCCTGGGACACTGGTGAATGTGCGAATGCCTAAGACACTAGAATTTCAGTTTGCTTTAAAGCCGTGGACCTCTGACATCAAATCATACTGATAATGTAGACACAGGCTGATGACTTTAGAACTCTTGTGACTATTAGATTAAATCAGAACCAGCAGTATTTTACATTTTAAATATCTTTTCTTTAAGATTAAATGGCCAGATGTAGCTTCACATCCTAAACTGACAAATCAGTATTTAGACTTGAATACTCTGCTGTATTTCAACCAATTCATCTTTTAGTCTTTTAAAGGTGTCTTCAGACTTTAAGGTGAGCGTTACGATGCAATGGGTGGTGGATTCTGGATTGTCTGATTAGATTAAAAGGCCTTTAATCTGTTTTGCAGAGACTCGGGAGGACCGCACTAAGAGACTGTTCAGACACTACACTGTGGGATCTTACGACAACTTCACCTCATACAGGTACGCCTTCTACCTCTCAGCTAGCACGTTGCAGCAGGCCATGTGTAGTGATGTGTGCTAGACTCTGCTGGTCATAGCAAACCTTAACAGGGTTTATATAGTGAAAAGGTAAAAGAGTGCCATGAAGCTGCTGCCATCTAAAGGCACGAGGCTGCCAGTGCACTCAGCTCTGATTCTAGGATGCACAGTTATTGCTCAGCTGAGTTTTTGTGCCTATATGTAGGTGTGCACTGTGCATACGGATGCATTTTATTTACTCATGCCTGTGGGCACATTCATACTTTTGTGCCTCATATTTTTTTTTTTATGATTTGCAACCAGCGTGTTCTTCTTCAGTCTGTTTAAGGTTTTAGTTTTTGATTCTTCGCACACGTCTTTGTTTCCCTGTCCGTGTCTCAAGATGACATTTATCGTGTAGAGAGTGTGAGTTCTCCCTCTCATCTAAATCAGATCTGTTAGCTGAGAGCAGAGCAGCAAGCCACATGCGGTTTTTGTTATGATGCTGATTTAATGCCGCGCTTTATCAGTTGGAGACACAGTGGGTCTGCGTGAGCATTGTTTCTACCTACTTTCTCAGTCTTTCATAAAATGTCAGCTTCTTGCGTTCTAGGTTTTAGCCAGATTAAATGTCACTTCTGTTACTATAAGCTTCAGTCTTGTTGAATTATATACGTTATATACTATGAATGTGTGGTAATAGTTTTTGTTGAGGAACGCACATATGAGCTGTAACCACATATACTTTAGCCGAGAAGTTCTGGAGAAACTGAAGTGGATTTCTTGTTGCTTTCCAGGTTACAGCTGTGACACTGTGAGCTTTAAGTTGCCACTTATGAATATCTGAATAAAAATACCAGTTGCACATGTCAGCTTAAGGGCAGAGACTTAACCAGAGTTATGTTGTGCAATATGTTAGATCTGAATAAATATAAGAATGACAAAATGTCAAAGGACAGGTTTATTTAGAGGAAACATTTTGACATGTGAGCCTCACGTGGGATTTTATTATTATTATTTTTTTTATTTTCGTTATGTACTGTAAGAGGATTGAGACTCTGAACAAGGACGGTGAGCACGTTGCATTAATGCAGCATTTTGGGGGCACGGAGTGGAGATGAAAGCGTAGTGGATAAAAGGGTTTGGACTCAAACAAAGTATCTTAGTGGTGCTTAACCGACATCGTTTTCTGTGCATAATAATCATGCAAAAGTGGATAGATAGCTTTTTATGAAAACAAAACCTTTGACCTCCCTCCTGCAGAAAGGTTTGTTACGGGTCTCCCGGCTCCGGCAGCAGGAGCTCTGTGTTCCCCTGGTAAGTCTGTGAGAGTGGAGTGTAACTAAGCTAATGACACCGCAGCCACCCACCGAGTTGCAACCCGAACACCAGGCCTCTGCGCGCGCCTCGGCTAGGGCGACTGATAAGGCTCGAAATACTACAAAACTCGTGGCTTTTGTGAAGGCTGTGAAGTGGCACTCGCGCTCTAAGTGTTTTGTGGAAAGATAAGCCACAATTTATTCGCCGTTTGGGTGTTTTATTCTAATCAGCTATATTTGCTCTGTGACATATTCATTCCACCTTGGTGCCATTTCATTTTGCATTAAAAAATTTACATGATTAGACACGATTCAGATGTCTTCTAATTTACCCCCTCATTTCATCTACATCTGGGACCATCATAAATCCAGATGAACTCGTTCTCACCTCTTACGCGACCGATCCCGACCTCATTTGGTTTGAGGAGAAGGTCCGCGGGTGAGACTTGTTTTCTGCACACACAGCAAACTTGTCACGCTGATATTTGCTGTCGCTTTGTTAACTCCGCTTTCGGCTTTGAACACACACACACGCATGGCTTGAAAAGACAAAAAAAATACAAAATAGGCTAGAGTGTTTGCAGAGCGCCACAGGTTTAACGCCACCTACCAGCCTCCATCCTCGCCCTGAACACTGAGCAAAATCAGACAGTGATGAACTGCTCTCTTACTTTTGCATCCTATTTCCTCTGTCATTAGTCAGGGCACAATATTGCATCCGAGCCATCTCTGTCAGTTTCTTTCGCGAAAGCCCTCAACACACTTCTCGGCTGCAGTCTCATCTGAAGGATCAGCCAGAAGATTGATTCACTCTTAGGTTTTATCCCATAGACACTTAAATCATGAGGACTCTCTCTCTCTCTCTCTTTCTCTATCGCTTGCTGCCTATTCGCTCACACACACTCTCTCTACCTGAATGCAGCTCCTGGGAATTCTGAGCTGTGGTGTCCTGCTTGGCTTTTAACTTGATTGGGAAAGATCATACAGGCACGTGTGGTCATGTGTGTGTGTGTGTGTGGTCATGTGTGTGTGTGCCTCCACCTCCTCCCACTTCTCATCCCCCACCAGCCGACCCTCTTTACCATGCTGCCCTCCTCTCTTTGTGTGTCTGTGAGGATGGTGTTGGATTCATACCTGCTGTCCCTCTGCTCCTTCCCTCACAGCGACTATATCATCGAGGAGAAGAACGCTGTGTTACAGAAGAAAGAAAATGAGGGGTTTGGCTTTGTCCTGCGGGGAGCCAAAGGTGAGGCACCTTTTCTCCGCCTTCTTCTCGGTTTTGTGTGAGTGTTTTTTTCTTTTTTTCCCTTCGTCTGAGAAGTAGACTGTTGATCTGAGTCACTGAGTACAGCTCAGTCGGTATTGTTGCTGTGTGAGTCAATAACACAACCAGCTTTGGTCAACACTCAGCTTGTATACTCAGATGCACTCAGGCTTCTGGATGTGTGTGCGCGAGTGCATGTAGCCCCCTTTGGTGGCGTCATCCTTGGCTGAGCTGTCAGCTAGCTGTCCCATCTGTTCCCCGCACATGGCGTCGAGCTTTAGTAGAGACACACTCCTCTCCTTCCCCTTCCTCTCTTCCTTCTCAAATTTGTTGCTCTACCGGTCATTGTTTTCGCCTCCCCTCCACCTCCACCTCCTCCTTCCCGTCCATTATCCTCTCCAAATATTGTCACGCCTTCCTCATTTTAACCGAAATCACCTCTCTGCTCATCTCCACCGCCACGAAATTTCATTTTTACTCATGCACGTGCCAGATAGATCCCCCCCCCCCCCTTTTTACTCAGGCCGGTTACCATGGCAACCCCTTCTCAGGCACCTTGCCGGGAGTCTGAGTGTGCTTTACTGCTCCATCACTCACTACCATGGATCTTGGCTCACCCCACTCTCTTTTTTTTTTTTTCAGTCGGTCTTTTACTCCCCAGCACCCTTAAACACACACACACACATGCGCACACACACACACTGCAGTTCACTTAGTGGTCCTCTGAGAGCTCTCATGTGTCAGTGATTTAGTTGGATTCGCTCCAAGATTAAATGGAGTTTGTGATAGCGCACTCACTTAGCAAAGTATGCTTGTGTACTGTATGTGTGCGTTTTGTTGAAACATGCATTCGGTTTGCATCAAACTATATGCAGCGATGATATTATTTAGATGCAGCAGGCAGTACATCCACCTGGAGCTACCAGCATCCCTGCTCAATATGCACGGATGTCTTTATTGAGAACTAAACGCAATGTCAGTTAAATAATTTTAGTGAAGCTAAAAGGGAAGTTTGGAAAATAGCGAAAGTATTATTGCTTCCAAGGAAATTAAAACCAGCGCAGAAGTTCAAATAGTCTTTGTAGCATGAAATACGTTTTCCACTCTGGAACTAATTTACTGCTGAAATCAAAAAAATTAATCAAAAGAAGCTATGGATTTTTATTTACCGTTCTGTGCGGGTTTGAAATATCAGTGTTTTTTCTCAGCTGAGACTCCCATCGAAGAGTTCACTCCCACCCCAGCGTTCCCTGCCCTGCAGTATCTTGAGTCTGTGGACGTGGAGGGAGTGGCGTGGAGGGCCGGTCTGAGGACAGGGGACTTCCTCATTGAGGTAATTAAAGACTTCACTTGCTTCTTCATCTGTGTCTCGCTCACCATTTGAACAAGCTGGTGATGGCGTTGAGAACACAGAAGAAAAATCTTAACAACTGCAGCGTTCAGTACAAGCCTTGGCTGCATTCGAGGACATTAGATATTCTCCCTCGTGTGTCTGCAAGAAGGGTTTGTAGAAATTTATTTGCAACTAATGCATGAAGATGTATTGCAAAAGAACACAGCTTTTACTTTTTGAATTAATGGGACATGACTTTAATTGCAGAAAACAATCAGTGTGAAGTTTAGTCTTGTAAAATGTCCTGACTGAGCAAAGTTTGGTGACTTTTAGTGTATTAATGTCAGCAGCACTGTAAAAAGTCAAGGTGGTCCGTGTGTTTCTCATTCTGTCTTTGTGTGTGTGTGTTTCAGGTAAATGGGGTGAATGTAGTGAAGGTGGGCCATAAGCAGGTGGTGTCCTTGATCCGGCAAGGGGGCAACAGACTGCTGATGAAGGTTGTTTCTGTCACGCGCAAACCTGAGTCTGAAGAAGTCGTTCGAAAGAAAGGTAAAGACAAAAAAGGATGGAATTAGCTCCCCTGTCCCCTCCCTGTTTAAGAAAAGCACATACATTAGTCTTATTAACACTTTAGATGTGAAAAATGACCTATTTATAATGTATATTTGTATGTGTGCATGTGCACATGTGAAATTATACAATATGTTTCATGACATGTGATCCATGTGTGCTTTTTGCAAGAACTGGCTCAACCATTATTCAGCCTGCTCAGTCGTATGATTAAGATTTTAAATAGAACACGTCCCACTAATTATATAGTTACGGCTAAATTAATGCATATTAAGTCCTCCAAGATATTTTCCTTAACACGTTTAATTTCTCACATGAATCATTATCTGTGATTTAATAATGAATTTTATGATGTAATGCACCCATGTAAGTTGGTTTCGGGTCCACAGAAGGATGTGTGTGTTTCTGTTGTCTTGGTGATTTGTACCACGTTTCCCTGCTGTAAATTCATGTAGTTTCCATGTCAACCAGAGCTCGCCATTACTCAGCTCCCACACAGTCCTGGCACAATGACCTCAGGACTGTGTACACTGCAGCTGCGTGTACGCGTGCGCGTGTGTGTTTATGCGTAGAGGAATAGTGTGTGCACCTCCTTTGTGATTATTGCGATACAGAGATGGTGATAAATGAGTTTGACCTAGTTTCATTGGGACGGTACTGTATCAGCTGAATCCTGATACTCGGGGCTTTATGGTCTCTCTTTTCTTCATCTTTCTATCCATCTTACTCTCACTCATGTTTTCTTTGTATCGTCCCTCAAGCTTGTCATTTTCGGATAAATCCAGTCTCCTGATTGGACGTTTGGCATCTAGAAGCACACATTGACATGTTCCGACAGAAAAAACAGACGTATCTGACGAAAAAAAGTTCCACTTGTTGTCATGGGGCTTTTTTTTTTTCAGCACATTGAGATTAATTAAAAACAAAATCTAACATTTTGGTAGAGATGCATGTTTGCCTCCTGCCTGTCTCTTCATTAAGAGGCTGTAGCTGGCGAGCTTAGTTTTGCACAAAGACGGGACGCACAAACAAACAGCGACCCTGACTCTGTCAAAAGTTGACAAAAGCAACATGTCTGCACCTCTAAAGTACGGAAGCCGAGAGCGGTCTTTTTCCGCTACTGTTCTTTCTTCGCCGTTTTCTCGAGATAACGAGTTAATTTTCTCGTTATCTCGGGATAACAAGAATCCTCAGTCACCAGCGGGGGGCCGGAGGACAGACGAGACCGGGCACGAGTGCTTCATTGTAAGTTGTCGTGCCCGGTCAGCTGTTCTCATCACACGTCATGTCGGAGTTCCCGGTCAGCTGTCTATATAAGATACGTCACACCAGGAAGTCCGACAACTTCTGATGAAGGTTGAAGTGACAGCCGAAACTGTCAGCGGGATAATTATCTCTTTATCTCGAGAAAACGCCATTTTAAAAAATGTGCGGCCATGACCGCTCTCGGCTTCCGTACTAAAGCTTTTTTTATTAACACATATTTTATCCATATAAACACCAGAATGTAAAAATTGCAATCCGGCTTTGCATCTGTGCCGCGTCACGGCTCTCAGTTACTGACCCTCATCAAGAAGTAATCTGTCATAAAAACCTGTGTAAAAAAGCAAATTGTAACTTTTCATTTTTGTTTAGATGAAAACAAAATAAAAAAGTGGTAATTAGGCAGTTTTGGAAGTGCTGATAGGTGGATTGTGTCCCCTTTCCACAGAGCCAGGCTAGCTGTTTGGCCCTGTTTCCAGTCTTTGTGCTAAGCTAAGCTAACCGGCTGTTCGATACAGCCTCATCTATAATAAACAGACGTGGGAATGTTATTGATTTTCTGTTTCAGTTCTTAGCAAGAAAGCAATGAGCGTATATTCCCAAGATTTAGAGTAACGTAATTTGATTTTATTGCTTCCTTTCAGTACAGTATATGTGTGCAGTGTAGCTCCATCATGGTATATGTTTAGGAACTTTATACACGTAATCGCATTTCTTCCCGTCCGTTGCTTTGTGTCTTGCTGTATTCCAAAGTTGCCCGTTAAAGCATTGCTTATCTCTGCTTGTGTCTGAGCTGCTCAGACCAAAGATATTTGATCGAGGGAGAATATAAAGACAATCGCTGGTAAGATTCTGTTATTGTAAATCGAAGAAGAGATGAAACACACTGAAGTGCAGACTAGATGGAGTTTATCTGCTGTTTCAGAGCTGAGAAAGAACAAAATTCTTCACTCCTGTCTCAAACTTCCCCTGAATGCCTTTTTTTTTTTGCCCCCTAATCTGCGTCGAACACCCTCCTCTGCTGCGTGACTCCTCCAATCGGACTTAGTCTGCATACTGGTGCTGCACCTCGACGCGAATGCACAGACACATGCTGACACACACAGACTCGCGAGCGAACACACATTCTCTGCACCATGCGTGGCCTCACTACTGCCACCGTTGCCATGGTGACTACACTGCATGTTTGAATTAAGCATTACATTACAGCAACAGCAACTCTCTCTCCCTCCGAGTCTGCCTCTGTTCCTCTCTCTTCCTCCATCCTCCTCCTCCTCCTCCTCCTCCTCCTCCTCCATCTCTTCTGCTCCTGTACCAGAATGTGCAGGCTGGTGAGGAAATGAAGATGTTTGATATGGACAATACCCAGGATGGCGTATGTACACGAGATCTGCAGCTGCTGACGACAGCATGATAGTTATGCTCTTGTAAGGCATTAGTGCATCTGTGGGATTTAGGAATGTATCGCTCTACAGTGGCGCATTGAGCGTTGGCTGGTCGATCTCAGACAGGGAGAGCTGGTCTAGTTCTATTGTGGGGTATTGTCAGGAAACTTGGCGAGGTTAGCGCATGTAGAGACTGCTGTGTGTGTGTGTGTGTGTGTCTTCATGATCACAGTGCATGGCAATGCGTTGTTGCTGCAGGTTTAACACGCTTAAATACATGACTGCATTATTGTCAGTTTGGCTAATTGCATTGTCTGTTTCAAGCCTTTTTTTTTTTTTCCCTTTTTTTTTGTTAAACCTGTCACTCTGCAGTTTGTTTTTGAAGCCTAACATTTGGTAGATGGGATTTGCCGCTTTGACTGGGATGGTAACAGCCCAGTTGCTTTGTGTGTGTAGTAGGATTGGGAGGCTCCCATGAGCTTTGGGGTATAAAGTCTGCAGCGCATCATTTTCCTTAGCTGTTGAATTTACTGTCATCTCTTTGTCTGTCAGCCCACATGTCATTATGTCCTCCCTCAAGGAGCTTTCTCTGTGGGAGGATGTGCATGTGTGTGTGAGCCACTGTGTTAGTGTGTTTCTGTCTGATGCACATCTGCTAAATTCCAGACAGGCAGCATATTAAAAGTAAGATGGACGACTTTCTCCCTCTCCTTTCCGCACGCGTTTTGCTCCTTCTGCCTATTGTGGCGGATAAATCTTTTTGTTGTGTGTTTAATGGGAGGATTCGGAGAGATAGGGATGTTACAGAGAGGACAGAGAGGATTTCTTGCAGCACAAAGACTAAAAAACTAAATGTCTCGAAGACAGACTGACAGATTTTTAAGCCACCAGACGAAGAGAGAAAAAAATATGAAGAAGTTGGGCTCCAATCGTAACCTGAACAAGGTTCTGGCTAAGTGTGAGGCGTCCAGTTCATCTGACTTTGACCAAGTGAAAGCAGCGAAGATGGGATGGGCTGGCCGTCTGGGGGAGGCCAGGAGGGCGCTGAGCCGCAAAGCCAAAGGATTTTCATCCCCCGCAACTTCATCCTCAACACCATGCCTTTTCTCCACAGCTCCCCCACCACCCAAGAGAGCTCCTAGCACCACCCTGACACTGCGCTCTAAGTCTATGACCGCTGAGCTGGAGGAACTGGGTGAGTGCCAAAGAACTGGCATGAAAACTCAACACTGGCTTCCTCCTTTTTCTGTCATATTTCTGCTTTCGCTTTGTCATTAAAACTTGGTGTGTCTCCTAACTTTTAGAATAGTCACTTCTGTTGGCTTGTTCTTGTCATTTTCCCTCCTCTGCTGACGCTATCTTTTTCCCATCAAGCTTCTGCTCGGAGGAGAAGAGGAGGTGAGTCTGAGGGAAGAAATTGACGCCTCTCTGAACGTAATAAAGATGATTTATCACTGTTGTGTCAATTTAGGCAGCGTTGATTAGAAAAGAGGAGCAGCAGAACACCTAAATCTCTTTCTCCACTTTTGTTTTAATCTTTATTTTTCCTCTTTGTCTCTTTTGAGTCTTAACGCTCGCTCACTTGTGATCGTCAACACAACACAATGAAAATGCATTGATAACACCACCGAGCATGACCTATCCCCATAGTGTGTAGCTGCATTTTAGAAATGCTTGTGCATTTTCTTCCTGTAATATCAGTGCCAGAAATGATGACACAACATTTCTGTGGTCTTATGTCTCAGTATTTAGTTCTGGCTCATTTCCTTCCCAACAGAGAGACTAGATGAGATGTTGGCATCCCAGGAGTCTATGTTGCGTTCTCAGCCCTCGGAGGCAGATTACAGAGCAGCCACTGTCAAGCAGCGGCCTACCAGCAGGAGAATAACACCAGCAGAGATCAGTGTGAGTGCACCTACACACAGCGCATTGGCAGACAGCATATGTGACTGCTTTGGCACACATGCAAACTCGATCTGACGCATGGCGTACCCAGACACCTGGCCTACACGGCAACATTTATGCACGCGCTCCTCGGTGCTACTTTATTCGTGGTTTTATTGAAGCTTTAAAGATGTTAAAACTGTCTTTGATAACACAGCAAATTCTGAATTTTTGTGCTGCAGTCACTGTTTGAGAGACAAGGGATGACTCTACATGGAGGTCTTCACCCTGGGATTGAGAGAGGTCACATACCACTACCAAAGGGCATGTCCAGGACCAAGTCTTTTGGTAAAATAATTACCCACCCTGTACATATTGGTAGCGTAAAAGTAGACTGTAATCGTATGTGCAGCAGAGAATATATTGCAAGATGAGAAAGCTTCATTCTGTTCCGTCGTCAGTACAGCAAATAGAAAATATCGAGAATGAAGCTGCATCCTTATTGCATTTAAACTTCCTCTCAACAAGAAATCGTTTCCCAAGTCAAACCTTGACAGATTTTACCGAATGCTAAAGGTTAAAAGAGCTTTAAAAATGCATTGTTACATGGCAGTGTTCTAAATGTGCAAATGTAATTATTGGATATTCACAGAGCAGATGTTCAAGGACAGAGCTTGTTTCAAAAGTAGATATACACATGCATTATTAATACTCAGCTGTATTATTAAACATTTTTCCCTTTCCCCAAACACACTCATTAAATGAATGTTGAATTGATTGTTAAATAAGTCAGAAATAGTTAAAATTACATGTTTTATTTAAACATTGTATTGCTGCATTCGAGACATGTGATCTATTATTAGAGGTGTGAGTAGACCGGTTTATAGACGGATGCATTCCAGGATGTTTTTTTATGATGCAGCTGTCAACCTGCTAGCCTTATATAAAATGATCCTTTTGTATGAGCTTCCTTTGCATCACCACATGATCTTTGCTTATCCCTCATCAGGTGCCACTGAGGAGGATCGGCTGTCCGCCCTCGCAGCCGAGCACCGATTTCCCCGCAGTTCCTCTATGACAGACAGCCTCCGAGACCACTCGCAGCCCCATCCCATCCCTCCACCTCCACAAACGGCACCTCCTCCTCCTCCCTACTACCTAGACACCGGTCCTCCCCCAGCGTTCTGCCCTCCTCCACCCCCGTCTAGGACCCAGAGTCAAGGCCATGAGCCTGGGGGACGTTCCAGCTTCAAGCCCTCCTCCTTGGACCTGCCTTATGAGGCCGCCCAGCGGCAGGCCACACACATCGAGAGACAGAAGAAAGCCCGCTCCATGATAATCCTGCAGGACTCTTCCCATCTACCTGTAGAACCTACAGAAATTCCCCGACCTTCTGCTGCTACTCCACCTGAGCGAATTAAAAGGAAGGGTCGGATTATTGACAACCCTTATGCTAATGTGGGTCAGTTTAGCATTGGACTGTACACGCCCACCAAGCCCCAAAGGAAGAAAAGCCCCCTGGTGAAACAGCTACAGGTAAGTTGCATGGTAGGGGGTGTTGTTTTTTTATTTTTATTTTAAACTGTAATGCAAAAGACCCTTTGACCTGGACGTTGATGCAATTTTTTTTCTGTCCATTGCAGGTGGAAGATGCACAAGAAAAAGCTAGTTTGGCCTTAGCTGCTGCCCACTCACGAGAGAGCTCACCCTCAGGACGACACCCACATACCCACGGGCACACACACACCAGCCGTGCAGACTACTACCAGCAGCAGCTGATGGCTGAGCGAGAGCGTATGCGTGCCCAAGGAGAGATGATGTTTCAGGGTAAGGGCCCCTTCGCTGCTGCAATTGCTGGAGCAGTGAAAGATCGCGAGCGTCGCCTAGAAGAACGGAGGAAATCCACTGTCTTCCTTTCTGTTGGGACCATGGAGGGGGCATCTACCACCAGCTCTGATGCCCCCTCTCTGACTCAGTCTCACTCAATCGATGAACGGATGCTGACCCGCGAGCTGGGACAGCTGCCTCCCCCTGCCTTGGCTCTGAGCCCCTCACCTAGTGGGACCACCTTTATCCATCCACTTACAGGAAAGCCCCTGGACCCTAATTCACCACTGGCTCTTGCGCTGGCCGCAAGGGAGAGGGCGCTGACCTCCCAGAGCCCAACTAGCAGCCCAGAGCCTCGGACTAAAGAGCGAGTAGGCCAGGGTGTAATATTCATTGACAGTCAGACCAAAGAGTCTCCACATGGGGAAGGGGTACCTGCATCTCCACCTTTTTCACCTAAAAGCGCCAAGGCAGCGGGTTATGGACTTGGACCCTCCCCAACATCAATTTTAGTTCCCCAACCCACCAAGCCACAATGGGCTACATCACCTTCGCCTGTATCATTCCGACAAGAAATGGAGGCCAGAATAGAGGAGAGGAAGGAGGAGAAGAGACTAGAGGATAAAAAAAGTATGTTGATCAGTATTATGGATACGTCACAGCAGAAGACAGCAGGGCTGATCATGGTCCATGCTACCAGTAATGGCCAGGCTGTTGGGGTGGGTTCAGAACTAGAACAGACACCTGCCCCAGTAACCATGGAGCCTAGCAAATCACCAAGTCCACGGGCTAAATCCCCCAGCCCTACGGTCTCCCAGCCCCAGGCCCAGCTCCAGGCCCAACCCCAGGCCCTGCCTCAAACTCAGCGTCCTGCCAGTCCAGCCCAAGAGAAGAGTCTGGCTCAGGGAAGCTCCGAGGAGGATGTGGATCCATACACAGTAACCCTGCCGCCTGCCATGTTATCCTCCAGTGATGAAGAGACAAGAGAGGAGCTACGCAAGATCGGAGTTGTTCCACCACCAGATGAGTTTGCTAATGGGCTGCTGGCACAGGCACAGGGGACCGTGTCCCCAGCTAAACCTGCCACCTCTCCCACCACCCCTCCAACGCCAACACCCCAAACTCCCTCAACTCCAACAACCCCAATTGTGACCCCCACACAGCCTCAGCCTCCCCAGCCCCCACCTCCACCCAGTGCAGCAGCTGTCTCAGGGAAGCCCTCTGACCCTCTGGAGCCCCCACCGGTGGGTGAGTCCGGCTCTGCGGCTGACTCAGGCGTGGAGGAGGCTGACACACGCAGCTCCAGCGAGAGAGAGCGAGACCACCATCTCGAGACCACCAGCACCGTCTCCACGGTTTCCAGCATGTCCACATTGTCCTCAGAAAGCGGCGAGCCTGCCGACACACACACCACGCACACCTCCTATGCCGACGGGCAGACTTTTGTGCTCGACAAGCCGCCAGTGCCTCCTAAGCCCCGACTCAAGTCCCAGATAGGAGGCAGTAAAGGCCCCGTCACCTTCAGGGACCCTCTGCTAAAGCAGAGCTCTGACAGCGAGCTGCTATCACAGCAACAGGCTGCTGCCCTGGCTGCTGCTGCGGCTGGAGGAGCTGGGCTCCCCCCAGGTGGTTCGGCCTCAGTGACTGGTCTAGCCCCCACCAAGCCGCGCTACCTCTTCCAGCGGAGGTCCAAGCTGTGGGGGGACCCTGTGGAGCCCCGTGGGCCAGGGGTGGGGCTAGGTATTGGGAGTTTGGGCAATCTTGGTGGGCTGGGACTGGGGCTGGGTGCAGATGAGGGAGCAAAACCATCTGTTATGGGAGAGCTCAGTTCACGACTACAGCAGCTAAATAAAGACACTAGGTCACTGGGAGAGGAACCACTGGGAGCATCACTTGACCCAGGGAGGAAATCACCTGTGGCAGGTGCCAGGTAAGAGAATATCTACTGAAACTGTGCTGCAAAACTGTGTTCAACAGTGTGTAACAGAACAAAGGGCTACAATAAAGGAATGATTCATTCGTATCTTTCTCTTCTATGGTGGCAGAAAGTAAAAGAAATTCAAGTGATCAGCCTCAGTGAGACGACTCTTAAAAGGATTAAAATAGCATATTTGTCAGATGGTATTTTCTCTTGTTTATCAACACTTTATATTTGTCTTTATTCAGATCATTATCTACTGTGAAAAATCCCTCTATTTTTGCTGTGCATGACATTCTCACATTCTAAAATATGCAAATGAATATATATTTAAGCTAGTCTAATGTGTTGGTAAGTGGAAATGAGATCAGAGGTCATTAGCATTGTTTCCATTAGTTTCCATGACAGTATTAGTGTAACACCACAGTTAGTATGTGCTATACCCATCCGTGGGCCGTACAGTTTGTTTCAACATCATTAGGAAGAGCGCACATGAGACATAGAAGCGAGGCTTTTCACAGAGCATCTCCAGGGTTATCTGAAGCATCTGAAGCACAGTGGTGTTTTTTGTCTGTTATCTGTGGGTTTCTTTTTTCTCACACCAAACCTGAAAGTGCAATGAAATCCTTTTTTCTGCAGATGTGAGGACACCGAAGAGAGTAAACCTTAAGGTTATAGACCCTAGGGTAAACCAAAGCTTTTTTTTAAAATATATTTTTCATAACAAGCCTATCAACTAAGCTCATTGAAAGAGAACAACCCTTCTATACATTTTCTTTCATGTATTTTCCTTTAAATATTATTTGTTACCTTGTTTGCATTATCAGATTTCTTCACCGTTGCCTGGAGAATCTTTCAGAATCAGATCACTTTAATAAAGGAAAGAAAAATATGCAGCGTTCTCAAGAAATTACTGGTTTCATAGATACATTACAACTACAGTTGTTGACTCCGGACTCGGGTCTAAACTGCTCCTTGTTTCCATAGTTACAGCTGTACTTCTTGGCCTCCCGTTAAATGTGGAGTAGACAGTAGTAGTCAATAAGTTAGCGTTATGCAATTTGTGTTCGTGTGACCGTGTGCATGTGTGTGTGGTGGACTTATCTGTTGGTGCAAACAAGGTAACAGGGCTTGGAGGCATGTCCGTCCTGAAAGCCTTTCCTCATCTCTTGCACACTCTCACTTTTGGGTTCTAACCTACGATCCCGCCAGTAGCTTCCCTTCTAGCGTTTCCTTGAGCGTCCCTCCCAAAGTCCTTGCTCCGATAATACATCCTCATATCCACAGTTCTTTGCAGTCATCACTGATGTGAATTCGATAAGAACAAGTCTTATCACCATCCCCCATCCCAAAGTAATCAGTGATAACCTCAAAGATTTAAGGATGTATTTTTAGCTATAATGGTGTGTCATGTTAAAACCATCCTCTCATAGTCTCGGCATTAACGGCCTCGTTGATGACGAGACTACTGAAGTCCTAACCTTGTAAAAAGCCCTTAAGTGTCACGTGGAATAGCTGTCAAGTAGTTGGTGAAACTTTCTCCTCTAATCCCGTCGGTGTTTGGCGTAGATGCACAACAACCTGCCGTAGCCTGCTTGTGTTTTTACGGCTCGGCAGGTTGGAAGTTCTCATGTTTGCTGTCCACTGAAGTTTTACTTCAGCGTGGCACTGATGGCAATCGATGTTAAATTACATGTATTATAATCATTAGGTCATTTATCAGTCTCAGTCTTACAAAGAGCTCAGGAGTGTGTAATCACTCATCAGATGCGGCTGAGTTTGACTTTTATAGCCTCGCTCCTCCTCTCTTTTCTTCTTCTCTCATCCTAATCTCTGTTTATGTGAATAACGAGGATGGAAGAATTTGCTTCCATCGTACTTCACTGCTGATTAAGAGGAGCTGAAAGATATGAAGAGACAATCTTAGATTGAGAAGATGTCATAATAGACTCTTTCACAGTCGCCTCATTATAGTGACATCGGCGGGAGGAGCCGCTCAGCTCCACACAACCAAAACTAGTGTGTCACGCTTTTGTGTTTCCATCTTCTTGTCAATGAAATCAATTACAATGGCATCCCAGAGAAAGGGAAGAGGAAACGTCTCCCTGCAACTAATTACCATAGGGCTTTACGAGTTAATGCCCTTTTATGGAGGCGTTGCTACTCAGAAATACATTGGAACTGTTGCCCAAGTGTAGTTTGGTGTCTGCAGAAGATTGCTGCTACTTTTAGTTGCTGCTTTCGGGACGTGGCAGCTCCATAAATGTAGGAATGTCATGTACTTGGTGCATTAGCTTTTTAAAAAGAAAAACAAATCAGAAACCGTCAATCTTTGGGTTGCAAACACCTGATGAGAGTGTTTTGCAGTGCACACTTCTACCACTGTCAAGACTGTTTTTAGCAACATGCTAGCACAAGTTGAGATCCCCGCTCATCTCGACTGCATAAGAACACAGATGAAATACGAAGTCTCCATCTGACATTGGGCCAAATTCAGTCATCAATCATTGATCTGTACCACGGCGACATCCGTGGATGGAAAAGGCGACCATGATATCAATTACAGCATATCATGTAACACCCACTTCTGATTGGGCTCACCCTTTTCTGAGGTTATGCAATCAAAGACATCCCCACCATCTCCATCCTGACAGTTGATTGCCATTGGCTGTGACAAAGATGATCATGCACACCATTATCTCTCTCTCTCTCTCTCTCTCACTCTCTCTCCCTCTCCCTCTCTGCATCCGCATTTTTCCCCCTCACCTCCTGGAGCATTTTCACATATAGCACAGGCTTCCCAGCTCTCTAATTGCCATGTACCTCCTCCATCACTTACTCCATCCACTATGTGCTCCATTTATAACCCCCTCCAACAACCACACATGCCGGATTTTGTCTCTCCTGTATCCACCTCGTTCACATGCTGTGTATCATAGCTTTGGGTGGTTTAGAAACTTTAATTTAATTTGTGCTCTTTGGTTTTCTGTTCTTCGTTGTTTATGTAAATTGCATAACTTTGTTTTGTTTTTCAGTGTTTGTGTTGAGGATGGCCATGGTCCCTGACTGTCTTGCTTATTGGACACTGTAGGTTTCTTAAACCATGCTGAAACAGAGCAGAGTATATGGCAATTTGTATTTCTTAAAAACACAGAACATTTAAGTCCCGTGCAGCACATACAAATGTAAATTAATATCCTTCACAACACATATATTAATGTATGTGCAGGAACAGAACTTCTTTAGGTCCACATTACCTTTGAAAGTCAAGAGACATGTGCCTTCCTTTTATTTGTTCCTTTCGTTGTTTGTTTTTCTTTGTGCAGTGTTTGATATGTGAATTAGTGTGCTCATTTCTCTCTCATGTGGCCCACTGGTCAGACCATCCAGTGCTGAAACCTACTCTGCTGTCTTTGTCACGCGAACACACGAATGCCCACATGAACACCAACATCAGCGAGCATCCATACAGTCACGTACACACACGAGGCATGTCAGAGACAGCAGAGGCGGCTGAGGCAGACTATAAGTCTGGTTGGCAGGCTGCGTCTCATGGAGTGATGCTAACATTCTCTCCCATTGCTCTCTCTCTGCTCACCTTGCATGCTCCGCCCTGCTGCTCTGATCTGATTGGTCTAGAACTGACTGTGCGCCCAGGAGGGCAGGACGACTGTGTAAGTGCGCATGGAGCTCATCCCATATCCGTCGGCTCCCTGTAGTCTGATCATTTTTTCCAGCCTGTGTGCTGCCTATAGCTACCTTTGTTCCATTACACTCCTTAATCCAAATCTCACTCATGTCAGATTTCTTTTTATTTTACGTGAGACATGCTAACATGCATGATTGAAACAGACACCACTGCAGTAACTCTTTATCACATTTAGGTCTGTTTTTTTTCTGCTTCTCCCTGCTTGCACTCAGATGGACAAAACTCTCATGCTAGTCTTAATCTCTAATCCATCCCGCTTCCTGACCATCTTCCCTCCATTAGATCAGTAGATTAGACAGCTTCTCAAATTTATGCTTCAAATATTTCTCAGAAGAGGGTCTGATGTAAACAGGTAGATAACTGGACATGTGAGAATAACTGGAGGTTTCTACTACTAAAGAATGATTGCCAGCCTGTGTCAGTACAATCCTTCCTCCTCGTGCAGCAGATGGTACGACTGGCTTGGTTGGCCACTTATATTCCCTAAATAGTAGATGCACTGAATTAAGTGTTTGCTGCACTTCCAAGGTAAATAAACATTCATTGGATTAAATGAAGCTAAGCTTCAGAAAAAGACACAGCGTTGTGCGTCCCCACACGGCCTTTCAACAGCAGTTTGAGGACAGGAAATGTGTCATCTGTTTTCTTCATAAGCCACGTTTCTGGGTCGTACGGAGGCACATTTACCGAATGATTTTTGTTGAATGAAAAGAATTGTAACTACAGTGTTAATACAAAGCTGAAAAACAAATACACAGTTCTACTTTTTTGATCTGCTTTCTTTGTCTAAATGTAGGTGAGTGTGTGTGTGTGTGTGTTTCTACTAAACTTGTCACATAAAAAGTGCAGGTTTGATGTAAAACAGAATAAATCTGTTTGATGCTGTAAATCTAATCTATCTCTAAAGCTCTTGCATTCGTGGCTCACAGTAATCGTTTAAGGGAAGCATGACTTCATAGGAAGCAACTTTTAATTAAATTCATGACAGGAGGAAGACTGTCACTACTGTCAGACGCACTGAGTGGATTCAATTAGTAGATTTTTATTCAAAACTCTAAATAACATCAGTTGTGTGACCACCAATGAGTGAAGCTTGCTGCTTTGAGACTAGTTTGATCTCTAACAGCCATTAACCTCGATCCTACACTAACGTAAACCCTTAAAATAACCGACAGCAGTTGACACATATAACCCAAAGCTTGGTGTCTTTCTTCTTCTTGATCTTCACTTTGTTCACCTTCTTGTTTCCCGGTCAGCGTCTCTAAAACCTCTCTGTCTCTGTCTCCACCAGACTTTTCAGCAGCCTAGGCGAGCTCCACACCATTTCTCAGAGAAGTTATGGCACCACGTACACCATCCGCCCTGGCAGCCGTTACCCCGTTACCCGACGCACCCCTAGCCCAGGTTCAGGCTCACCTGATCGGGGCGACCCTCTTGGACGATTCTCAAGCTTCGGCCTACCGACCTCACCGACTACGCCCCCGCAAACCATCCTCAAGTCCTCGAGCCTCAGCCTACCCCAGGAGCCGAAAGAGGTCCGCTTTGTAATGAGGAGCTCCAGCGCCCGCTCCCGCTCTCGTTCCCCGTCCCCTTCCCACTCCCCCGGCTTGGGGTCACCGCTTTTAGCCCTCCGGCCCTTCCACCAAAAACCCCTCCACCTTTGGAACAAGTACGACGTTGGAGACTGGCTGGAGAGCATCAACCTGGGGGAGCACAGAGCAGGGTTTCAGGAACACGAGATCGAAGGCTCTCACCTCCCGGCTCTAACCAAGGATGACTTTGCGGAGCTGGGAGTGACGCGAGTCGGACACCGCATGAACATTGAACGAGCACTAAAACAGCTGCTGGAGAGCTGACCCCTGCCCTGAGACACAGCAACAGATGGAGGAAAGACGGAAGACAGGAAACCAGTGAGCTACAGAGCTGATGAAAGAAAACAATAAGGGACCACTCCTCTTTTACTCTGGCTGCTTTTTTTAAAATTATTTTTTGTTTTTAATTTTTTGGCATCACAAATGTTTACCTGTGGGCCTTTAACGGCGTTTTTTTTTCCGTTCCCGCTCTGCATCAACAACACCCTGCACTTGGCACTGCACTGAAGAGGAGGAGTGAATACATTCGTCCCTCTCTACTCGGCCCTTAGAGATCTGCCCACCTCCTTTGGCTGCAGCCAATTAGATCAGACCTCAAAATGATATCTGGTCTTTTTTTTTTTTTTTTTTCTTCCGCCGAGGAGAATCGCATGAGCTCCAATTAAAACATTTGATTTGTGAAAGGTTCCGTTGTTTCCTTAGTAACACCCACGCGTTCTCCCTCACTGCTCCCTCCTCTCCTCTCTACCTCTATCCCCCCCCTCCCCCCATCTATTAGGCCTCTGAAAAGCCTTTTGCAGTTTGAGTAAAGGAGGAGGAGGACGAATTCTTTTTTTTTTTTTGTTCCAAACAGAAAAGCTCAGTTGCCTTTCAAAAATATTTATACAGAGATCAACAATGATGAACACGGCGCTATGGACGTAGCGCTGACACAGCTCTGAAAAAGGTGTGTCTTCTGTATACCTGCTGTTGTTTTTAAAAACCGAAGACTTTCGAGCCCAGAGGTGGAGCTCCGCAAACCACGGGAGACGAACCCCCCCTCTGCCTTGGTACCCAGACTGTGCTATCTATTATATTTGGAGAATGTTTAACCAACACTCGTGGCTTTTTTCATAATCAATTTTTTGGTTTTTCCAAAGGGAATATTATATATAGGTATTATATAATATAATATATATGTATCTAAATATAGCTTTCAGAAGAGAAAAGACAATGTCGCAAAGAGGATATGTAATAAATTAATCTGCGCCTGTTTTTTTTTTTTTTGGTTTTTAGTATAGAAGGCAGAGAGAAATCTTTAAAAATCTATTCCACCAATAGTTTACTCATTTCTACCAATTATATACATACATATATAAATATATATATATATTTGAAAGAAAAAAAAGTATATAGATACGAAAATGAAATTTTTTGTCATAGGTAATACAACCTTCCTTATGGTCACCCTTTCTTGAACCGTAGCATGACGAGTTGCATCATGTTTTTTGGACAGAGAGTTTGTTGTTTGTTTTTATTTTTCTTACGGTCTTCCTTCATACTATAAAGGGCATCCCGTAATGTGAGGCTGAGACCCCAGTTGACACCCATCCCTACCGCTTCAGCTACACATCTCGCTGCCATGGACCCCACAGTACCGCACTGTGAGAGTACCGCCTCCCCCCCAACCGCCGCCGCCACCGAGCCGGCTGATGGCTTGAAAGGGTTCTCTTGATCTTATGCCTGTTTATCACTCAGGGATGGAAGTTTGGGGCACTAGCGTGAAGAGGTTGTTGGCTGTTTTAATACAATCTATTTCAACGCTTACATTTGAGGACAATTTTTAAACACCGCCGCCAGTCTGAAAAATGTTAGAGAAGCTAGTATAAATTTCCATCCCTGTAACCCCTGGAGATGCTTTTTTTTTTTTCCCAGACCGTGTTGCACAAGGTCTGCTATCATAGAGGAAACACTGGGATGTTTTTTTTTCTTCTTTATCCTCAGTGGAGAGGAGAGCATCACAAAGAGCCAGATAACCGAAAATTTTTTTGTATCGAGTTCAAAGTGTGGGGGGGCAAATTAAGCTTAAACTGCACAAACAAAGCAAATAATTGTTTACCTTGGAATCCTTTACCCGGAGAGCAACTAAAGAGAAACTCGCCATACAAGCTTAATTGAGCTAGATGTGTGTGCCCTTCTGAAATGCCACTGCAGGAAATGTCTGTAGTTCCTCAGGCTGTGGGGATGGGAAAGCCTCTGTAAGGTCTTAAAGAAAATTCAGTATTTTTTTACAACCTGGCACAGTGTCTCGCACCGTCGCTGCTACCTTCTATCTCTACCATTGTCTTATCATGTAAACGGTGGCAGCAAGAACTCTAAAAATAAGACCCAGGTTGTAAAAAAAAAAGAAAAAAAGAAAAGAAAAAACACTGAATTTTCTTTTAACAATACAAATCTGCAATTGTACTCATGAGTAGCTTCTGCTGGCAGTGAGAAACAGTGAGTTTTATTCAAGCAACAACAACAACAAAAAAGCATTTTAGCAAAGCTTTTATCTGACAGAATGCCAGGAAACTGTATTAACACTGAAAACCTCTGTACATCAGCAGCATCCAGTCAGTACGCCAAGACACTTTTACTTGGCGAAAAGTTGTGTGCATCTTATTTTTCTTTTCTTTTTTTGTCGTTTTATTTGCTAGCAGTTTGTAAAGCGGGTGGTGAACATTACGTTGTATCTGGGTTGTAGGAATAGCACTCACTGCCTCACTGTGACCTCACTGATCATTTTACTTTTGACTCCAGTGTTACGTCCTCATTTTGTTTTTAACTGTTCTTTTTCTTTCTTTCTTTTTGTTTGTCGTCGTTGATTTGTTACCCTCGGACACTGTGGGTAGATTTTGTAGCGTGTGGAACATGATACTTAAATCTTTCACTCATTTGAATTTTAGAGTGACGGAAAAAGAAAAAAAAAGATTTAAAAAAAATATGATCCTGTTCATTCTAAACATACTTACACTTGTAAAAAAAAACAAAAAAAAAACAATACAAATATTTGCTTTTTTTTTTTAAAAAAAAGAAAAAAAATCACAAGCAATGTATATATGATAGATTTCATATAAATTTTTGAAAAACAAAAAGTATATAGATCTATATATGAATGTTTGGCATATATGCATAGTTAACCACCTGTGGAAAAGGTGAGCAGATTTTATTCTTTCTATGAACTCTTGAACTTTTGAACTCTGAACTATGAACTAGGGGATGATTTGCACAAAACAAGGTGACAAGGTGCTAACATAAAAAGCCACCCATCGTCCAAGCGCATGCGTGCATCTGGATTCCCCTGAACCTCTCCGTGTGGTCGTTCCTCTTCACCGTGTGGCTGCGTGTGCAAATGCTTTCCATTGTGTTGCGTATTTGTTTGGGGGGGGAGCGAGACGACGAGAATGCGTGTGACAGCGAGAGTGGTTTAATTGTTAGGGTTTACATCTTTGGAGTTAGTCCACTATAGCCTTACTGTATTACCATCAGAGATTCCCGGCAGTGGCTGTGTCACACAAACACACACACACACACACACAAAACATGCACACACACACACATTCATTTCAAGTTCAAGGTTGAACATCATCTTTCTGCATTGTTGTTTTGTAACGTCTTCAAAAAGAGACGACCAGAGAAAGAGAGAGATTGGTGAAAAAAACACTGTCACATTTTATATTGCAAGACAACTCACCTTGTAACTGCGTAGGCACACCTTATGCAGTGTCACTGTTTTGTACACCCATTCCCAGATGGCATTTTTGCGCTCCTTAACCCTCCACTCTGTCTGGCAGCACTCCTGTTTCCTTTTTCAGACCTTCAGTTTCTGAGTTTTGGATTAATGCTTATATATGAGGTGATCCAGTGAGGAACAAACAACACAAAGGAAAAATGTGCCAAAAAGTAACTTAACTTTTAACTGTATATTTGTCTTTGCTTTAGGACTATCTTAGTTACAGCGTTCTTGAGCTGTTAGATAATATGATAATATGGTGCCATCTCCTGGAAATCTTGAGAACAACAGACATTTGTTAGATCTTTCTGTATTTTCCTGCAGGTGGAAGTACAGTCATTTTTGTTATTTTGTGAAGACGCAGGCTATATATATATATGTGTGTGTGTGTGTATATATATATACAAACACACACACACATATATATAGTCTGTGTATATCTACTTGCATTAACATTTCTATTTAAATTTTGAGACATAACACAATTGCTTGATTTGACTGTGCTGAAGGTTACTGTTCCCATATAAATACAAATAAGAGACAAAACACTGGTTGAGAGGTGAACGTGTACAGTCTGGACTCAGACGCAGGCTGGCCCGGCTACAAGAATCGACGCTGCTTTGGATTGTCGTGCAAGTTTACTACCAATACAGATGCAAACTGAGCAATGTGTAACAGACATACACATCATTAGGTCAAATAAGTTAAGTGAAGGGTTATCTTTGTCTTATTTTCTAATCAACAAAGCACAATCTACATAGTGTAGGGGGAGCAGTGTGACCTTTTTAAAAACCCACTGGGGGGGTCCGGTGACCCACTGGAACCAGTGATCTTATCATCCAAGGGGTTTTTTCTTTCATTGTTGGTTTTTCTCCTTGTTTGCACTGTGAAGTTTAGAACGGTGGACGTATCACTGCAACGCCTCAGCCTTGTCTCACGGGTGAACTTCCCCTTCTCGACATCCAAACAACCAGGCGACTCATCCGTGACCACTTCTCTCCCTCCGGACACTTTAGGGTATTATACAAAGATCCCCTCGACACACGAGAGCCCAAGTTTAAAACACAAGTTCAAACCAGAAGCTACCTAGTATTCCTCATGCAAACAGAGTAAGGGCGACAGTAAAGGTTGAGGCAAGATCTGAGATGTTGCCCAGGATATCTCCACCACAGAGATATATGTTTGTTATATTATGTAATAAATTTATAATTAAAACATGAAGCGTCTCATATTCTTTGCTCCTGCTTTTTTAGTGTCTCGTTGGTACAAAGTGTGATTTATTCCTTGCAAATACCACACAAGAAACAAATATAAATAGAACACACAGCTCCTGTGCACAACAAAATGATCATATAGACCAGTGGTCTCCAACCACCGGGCCGCGGACTGTTACCGGGCCGCACAGAAAGAATAGAAAGGTTTATTTTGTTTCCGGCAGAGTCTGCAGGGTGTTTTATTTTGAAAAGTCTTCCTGTAACTTCCGGCTGTGCTTGTTTTATTCTAACCGCTGCCTAAATGAATAAAAAACTACCTTTTCTTGCGAGCGTCTTTGAAAAGAGATGCTGAGATGGAAGAAATAGTAAATAGTTATTTAGCAATAAAACGGAATTTGATTCGTTTATGAAACTTTTTGAATAGAAAAAACTATTTGTTATGTGTGCAATGACCGGTCCATAGAAAACTGTTTTGCTTGATACCGGTCCGTGGTGCCAAAAAGGTTGGAGACCGCTGATACAGACATTACTTCAGTCCTTTCTTAGTGTGCTGCTTCATGATGATATGACCAAACACGACCGCGTCCAACCCAGCACGGAGGACGCAACCTTCACACAACACATCTACTCAGCAGCTCGTGTTGAGTCGACTACTTGGTGCTCCACAGCAAGTAGGAAAGAGACATGATAACAGTTTGGTTCCATGGTACATTAACTTTTCATTTATAGGGTGCTAAAAAAAAACAAAACAGAATTTACATCGTGAAATGAATGCGACCAAAGCAGCCGACAGATGCAGCTCCCCGCCGGCGCTGCACACAACGCTACACACAAACATCGAGAACAGCAGCAAACACGGTTTATAATCACACGTTCTCTCTGCTGTGTGTCAGTTCATCGCTTCACATTGTTATTACATGGTTGTTGTTTTCCTCCCTTTTCACACTTAAACATTCATTTTCTACTATTATAATAGTAGATGTTGTTCAGGGTATGAATGACAAAACAGCAGCTAAATAAACCTGGTAAACAACACAAATCCTAATTATCCCGCCGGGTTTATTTCCCCGCTGGTGTCGCCGGACAGATGGAGGGCAGTCGTTTAAAACCTGACCGTGTGCCGTCCTCCAGTAGTAGAGATGCAATCTGATCGTTTAAAAGGCAGACCGACAAAAATGACATAAAAAGAACAAGTGTTGATGTCGCCGGAGAGTCTCTGAAGCAGGACGTGAAGGATGGACGCTCTGAAATCTTTCAATCCAACTCTGGACTCTCTGCTTTCAGTCCGTCCTCGTCTGCTTCTGAATTATCTTCTTTCTTTTCCAGGTCAAAGTTCTGGAAGCAGCACACAGACGTCAGTATGAACACAACAAAGCGCTTTTACGGCTAAAAGCAGCAACAAAGAACAGATTAGAAAAAGACTTTTCCACATGAAACAAAAAAGTCGATTATTTGTCGTTCAAATGATGTAATTTTGGAATGAGCATGTCTATTAATGAAACAACAGTAGCAGATGATCAACCAATTACGGAATTTCTTAGAGCGATGGAACGTTTCTCATTTTTTTGCAGTAAATATTGAGTGTGGGTGCTTAAAAGATGCCAGACTGTGTGTTGGCATTCGGTTACCTCTAATTCTTGCATCACTTCGTCCATGAAGTCGCTGGGGTTTTGTTTGTAGTCCACCGCCCTCTTGATCATCTCTCTGAACATCTGATGTGAGAGTTACAGTCAGAACCGTGAGCACGCAGGGGCAGCGCAACTTATGAGATTACAAAGATACTTTGGCTCATAACACAAGTACAGTCGTGTCCTCCTGCTGTGGAATTTACTGTCAAACTAATGAGGATGAAATGCATGAAAAAGTGAAGTTTGCCATGATTAGCAGTGCAGGAGAACAACAACACGCTCCAACCTTAACTACGTTCGTCCCGTCGGCCGCTGATACGAAGTAAAACGGGAGCCCCTGCTTCTTCCCAAAGTTAAAGCTTCTCTGTGTCACCTTTAGGTCGGCTGCAGATGTGAAAAAGCAAACGTTAGCGTCTGTAATCTAGAGGCAACTTTGTCATTAATAAAAAAAAGATTCATCAACATTAAGATCACATGCAGGCATTTAGAAAACTGAATACTGTTGTGCAGAGTTACTCACCATCAATTTTGTTGGCAACAACACAACAGGGGATCTCCGGCCTGTACTCCCTCAGCTCCTTATACCAGTTGGCTAAATTCTTATACGTGATCTTCCTTTGAACATCAAAAACCTGAGACAGAGAAGGAAGATTTACGAGACAAAGCGGTGCAGTCTGAGAACCTCTTGTTGATGTCCCTGTGAGAAAATCTCCATCCTCATGTGATACATACATGTAGTACACAAACCTTTTTATTCTATCTAATCAAAGTAGTCCATTTGAAATATGCTATTAGTTACTTTTCTATCAATAGTCTGTTGGTGTTCTCATTCATCTCCCCTGTAGGAAGTGAAAGGGCAGCCAGACTAAATCCTTAAAGACCGCCCTAAAACCAGGTCTTACCATGATGCATGCATGAGCTTTGTGGTAGTACGAAGGATGCATGTTCTGAAACCTCTCCTGACCAGCAGTGTCCCAGAAATCTGTGCAACAAAAACACAAACTATTCCTGTAGAAGCAACAAGAAGTCTGATCGAAACCATGTTCAGATGGGTTCAAGTATGAACTGTGGTCACTGAGAGAAGAACAAAATACGCACCGACCACGACCGTCTTGTTCCCGACTGTGGCCGTGTGCTTGTAGAGAGTCAGAGCATATGTTGATAGCTGTTGGGGACGACTGAAGGAAGAGTTAAGGATCTTAAAGCCTGATTTGGAAACACAGATTAGCCCTGTTGTGAAAGGGTGCTACTTACAACTGAGGACCATTGCCAAACTGAAATCTATCCTGTGTTTGATTGACCTGAACACTGTAACTACTGCATTTCTCTCCTCTAGGCTGCTACTGTCTGCACCTCACTGTCTCCTCTGCAGCTGGTGTGACTGCTGTTGAAAGACTCCTGACTGGCACCCCCACACGGGCTGTCTATGAAACATCGAATTGATTTTAAGGTTCTTGTACTTGTTTATAAAGCCATGCAGAGGTTGGATTCTGGGTACATTTCAGAACATACCTGTCCCTACCTCTACCTCTAGGCCTCTTAGATTCTCAGACCAGCTTCTTTGACTTTTCCACGGCTGTGGCTCAGGTGGTAGAGCGGGTTGTCCTCTGATCGTCAGGTTGGAGGTTTGATCCCCTCCAATGGGCAAGACACTGAACCCGAAGTTGCTCCCAATGACAGGCAGCACCTTGCATGGCAGCTCTGTCACCATTGGTGTATGAATGTGTGTGTGAATGGATGAATGAGAAACACATTGTGAAGCAATATAAATGCAGTCCATTTCCCATTCCTTATGAGACGCTAGTCAGTAAGGGGCATTGTGCCTCCAAAGCTAAGGAATAGACATCCTCTTTGAATAAAATGTTATTTCTCTGTTTATACGTTGATTAAAAATCTGAAGATGTACATGTGTTGTTGTTTTTACTGGCATTAGGTTGCTCTTGTTGATCTTAATATTTTTACTGTCATATTTATATTATATTATATTTATATGTACATTTTTTATTTTTTGTTTTTTCCTGTGTCGTATCTGTGTACGTCTGTTGAAAACTGCTGTCAACGATGTGAATTTCTCCACCGTGAGATTAATAAAGGCATATCTTATCTTATCTTATCTTATTTAGTTTTAGAATGTAATCCTGAAACTTGCCATTCTATTTTGTCGTGTTTTAAAAAAAAAAAAAAAAAAAAGTATTTTAGGTTTATTTTGTTTTTCTGAAGTGATTTTTTTTTAAATTGTGTCGATTTTTCGAGTATTTTTTTTTTTTTAAATTGTAAGTATTTTTGTTGTTGCCTGTCTTGTGCAGCACTTTGGTCAACTATTTAAAAAAATGAACTAGATTTTATCTGATTTCACTTCACTATTAAATTTTACTGAATTAAAAAAATAATCATCATCATCAAAGCATTAACAAAACTACAAAAAACTGTCCAATATAAAATAACAATAATAACCTGTAACTCTGATCAATAATCAATTTATATTTTTTAAAGAAAACATTTTTGTCTTAAAAAAAAAAAAGTTAAAATACATTTGCAAATTTATTGCAATGTTATATATTTGTTCCTTATATATACACATGTGTATGTGTGTGTGTCTCTGTGGGTATCATTTTATTGTTTTTACACAACATCCTATGAAATTATAAGATGATTATCTTTTTTATTATTTGACAGAGTTTTCTTTCTTGGAGGGTCTCTTTTACATTTGGCTTTTGTTTCCCAGAAGCATCTTAGGACTAAAATGATCTGTGTCCCATTCTGCTTTGTAAGAGGCACACTGGCTGTAATAAGAATCATACAAACAGCTGATAAAGACGTCATTTCGTCAAGGATACTACTCGTCCATGAGGAACCTCTCCATCAGCCTACGAGAGAAGCACAAGCAGTCTGTCAGGGCAACAGATGATCTGTGGAAAGTTAAAAATACCGCAAAACACACAACCAGCTTACACTCACTTAGATTTGCCAACTGCGCTGTCTCCTAAGCAGATGATCTTCACTTGTTCGTCTGCATCGTATTTCTTTTGGTCCAGTTCGGGGATGCTGCCAGCGTCGCCAGCCATTTCCTCTCGCTTGTCCCCCTTTGTAACAGCTTTCATAAACACCTGAAACAGACCCGGTTAAGCTCCTGTAGGACGGCTGCATTGGACGCGGTGTTAGCTAGCTCGCCATCGGTTAGCTGCTTTCAACATCGCGCGGTTCGGCTTTGAGGCGCTAATTTCACTGGTTCGTCGGCGCTTACATCAACAAAGCTGGTGCTCACCGGAAAAAAACGACAGCAGTCCAGAGAGCGTTACGGATTAAAACTGTCTTTCTAAGGTCTCCTGTGAGTTACAGCACCATTACTTTCACAGTTCAGCCCGAACCACTGAAGGAGCCGACGGCTGCTAGTTACCAGCAGGTTGGAGCCGCGAACGAAATTAGCGTCAGTTTCATCGCTAACCGCGATTTAATATCGTTGTCCGCTGTGTGTACGTTTCTTCTCTACAGCAGAAGGTAAAGCTAAACGACTGTCTTCACTCATCCGGGTTAAAAGAGGCTAAAAGTTTGTAGATGCACGACATCCCCGACGATTTTCGTTCCTATGCAACGGGGACGCCCACAGGACCTCTTGGGTTAGTATCTAGGTGTCCTTACAGGTGCCTGTCTAAAACGCTCTACGACTCCCCCATACCTTCCCCATTAAATTATGCTCAGAATGTCTTTTCATTCATTAAATCTTTTTATTAGGGTCCGAGCACCCAAAAGGGTGCGAAGACCCTATTGGAACTGCTCGGATTATTA